TAAATGAAGAAGGATGATGAAATGGAAGAATTTTTTTCTGATTATAAATTGTTAATTTGTCAGAATTAGATCTAGGAGCTTAAAATATTTTTATAAGAGGCAGAAAAGACATTTTAAAGGTCATTAAAACCACTATATTTGCATATGAACTGCTGGCTGCTATGGGATTCTTTGGGCTTGCCAACAGAGTCCTCCTACATGGAAGAATCTCCTCAAGACATGTAGACTGCCAAGAACATTCCCTGCCACCCAAGCTCCCAGTTGCAAGCGCCAAGCAAACAAAATCAATCCACAGCCTCGGCGCATTCCCTGGATGACACCTTGGGTGTCTTCCAGATGCTTGAATTATATCACATGGAAAAACCCAGCGTGACATGTCCACCATGGCAGACACCCAGCGTGACATGTCCACCATGGCAGACACCCATCGCTGCGGGAGAATTTCGACGTGGACAATGGTTTTGTAAGCGCATCTGCAGGCATGTCTTGTGTGGGGCTGTAGCTAAGCTAGACTACCTGATCTTCAAACTAGTCCTGTCAAAGTGATGTGTTGTGTCCATGTGTTTCGTCTGGGAATTAATCTCGAGGCGATGTAGCCTTGATTGTCACAGTAGATTGGCGTTGGGCCAGGAAAGGAATGTCGTTGAGGAGGCGGCGATGCCAGATGGCCTCTTTGCATGCAGAACTTGCCGCAATGTACTGCCTCACAGATGGAGCAGGTAACAACGCTCTGCTTCTTGCTGCTCCAGAAGTGTGAAGGCTAAAACAATAGCCAGTATGTGACCGTCGAGAGCCCAGTTGCAAGCTTGACTCTGTAGACTTATAGAGAATATCTCAGAAGTACCGAAAAATATGTTTAAATGCTTGCCAATGTTTGATTGTCAAGGAACCTGCTCACCACAGTTTGTCGAAGAACCCTAACTAACCTGCCACACATGTTGCTGCTGTCAAGCAAATCTTGGAAGACCTGGTTGAAGGTAGAGTGGCTGCAGTCCGCGCCGGAGAGTCTCAAAGATCCGCAGGTCATTCGAGGGCTTCATCCATCTGCGCTCCCACCAAGACACCGCCACGGCTGATTGAGACCATGCTCGCAGCTGTACAAGACATCCCTGTAAGGCTTGTGGAGATCTTATGGAGACTTTAGCTTGTCCAGGAGGCGCTTCTCTTGTTTTTAATGATATTCCTCATCAAAAGCGTGGTCTGGGTTAAGCTTGATGCTTGGAATCCACATCGATTTAACCACTTGCTAGAGTGGAACTTCAGGAAATCCTGACAGGGAAAAAGGAAAGCTGCTGTCTTGCGCTAGAAAGCCGTTAGTCACAAAAGGCTACTCTCAAGTGGCTGCTGACAACAATTTGAACATTGCTCGCGCTTGCTGCAGCAGAGAATTGGCATGTTCACTAGATGGATTTAAAAACAGCTTTCCTCAATGGAGAGCTAGACGAAGACTGTTACTTCCGATTCAGATAGCGAGGACGAGAAAGCTGCCACCGTGGGAAAGAAAAAAGAAGAGACTGCTACAGCTGGAGGAAAAAACACAGGCAGATTCAGATAGCGAAGTTCCAGGGGAGAAGAATCAAGAAGAGGCTGCTACAGCTAAATAAAATAAAACAGTGGACATTTACATGGAGCAGCCGGAGGGTTAACAAAATTCGAGGCAAATAGAGTTACGTCTGGAAGTTACACAAGCCTCAAAAGCGTTTTTCTCGTGCACTCTAAGCAAATCTTTATTACAAATAAGTGGGAGATGATGTGATCTACATCACAACGACTCTCAACTGGTTTGTAACAGTTTGACCTTCCTTGCAGAGATCAAGCAAGGTTTTTCTTCCCATTTCGAGATGAAAGACCTTGGCAAAGCTCGCTATTGTCTTGGGATTCAGGTCAATTGCCAATCAGATGGCTCTCTGTTTCTCCATCAACGAAAATACATAGAGGACATTTTGCAACGGTTCGCTTCGGCTCCTATGGTAGCAGGTCTGAAACTCTTAAAAGATCAGTCTCCTTCAGCGGAGCAAGATGGCCCGAGTTGCTTCCTCCTCTTCCCCCCTCCTTTCCCACCTCCTCCGATGCAGCTGACAGCTTTACATAACACTGCCTTGTGCGTCCAAAACAGATGAGAAGACTAAGACTTCTTCCCACAACACCACAGCAAGGCCAGGCAAGAAGAACTGTCGCATTCCAGTGGGAGTTCTTCCAGCACGACCAGAATATACAACCCTTGCCCGCACTGCAAGAAAACGAATCATGCTGAACACAACTGTTAGTTCGAATACCGGAGGTGGTGGCGGTGAATTTGGAGGAAAATTCGCTGTCTGCTAATCCACTCCATTCGAAGTCTAGTTTGTGCAAGAACCCGAACGATAGCGTGATATGTCAGCCAGGTGGCTGTCCGCCTACTCTTACAGGGTACAACATGCAGCAGTAGTGCTGCTGCGAGTGGGGGATTTCAAAGTCGAGGGCGATGGATATGAAGCAAGATCTAGCAGCATAGAGCTTCCCTCCTTGGCTGCAGGCAATTAGATGGACCACGAAGCACACATCAGGATATTTCCGTGATCTTCGTGGTGATAGAGCTGGGCACTGCAGTTGTAGGCCGCACGTATTGCATTCCTCTGGCTCGGGGATCGCGTTGAAAACTCGCCTGGCCCCAGATGCGACACTGAGCGACAGTCCACAACATGGAATCCCTCAACGCCAGAAACCGTTCTGAAGGCATATTGTCAAAAACCCGCTTAGATTCCAGCAGATGCCCTGGGAGGGCAAATGCTGCCAACCAGGCAGTCCACGATACGAAGTCGTGCATTTGGGCAAAAGTGGACTTTGACTTCGCTCTTCCGTACGCAGCTACATACAGTGCCAGAGCGCATCTGATTGCTGTGGCATGGCGTTTGTTTGCTACAGAGTGAGAGACACAAGAGAGAGAATCAAAAGTCCAATGCCTAGAGTGGAATATCCTCTCGGCAAGAGAAAGAATATCCTCCTGGCCGTGGAATATTCTCTCTAATTAAGATATCTGTGAGATTGGGCATATGCTGCGAGCATCCGTGGATTCCTCAAAATCCCCGGCCTGCGCGTACGCAACTAGCACAGACAGAGTCTTGTGCGGGATTTCATGGATTGCCTGCTCCAATCTCCACGATCTTGTTGTAGACAAACACTTCGAGCGATCCAATGCCTCGGCGCCCGCGAAAGCGTGACGAACACCGTGTCCATCCAAAAGGTTTGAATCTGGAGCGTTGGATGGCGACAATCTCCGCCGTCTATACTTTCTTTTTGGAAGCTACCAAAACAAAGCTTCCAAGTCTTGGAACAAGCTTGAAAGCGGGAGATCCCAAGTCTCCTCTTCTTTCAGGCCGTGTTCTTATTCTCTTTCCTACACAAGAGATCAATCCAAGGAAAACACCCACACAAACTTGGAAGTACCTGGCGAGCGGGCGATGAATCTCTCCACTTCTCTTCACGTCGAGGAATCCATGGGCTCCTGCTCGTCGCGCACAAACCCCCGGATCTTGTCCATCACCCGGTAGTACTGCTCGGTGTTTGGAAAGATGAAGAAACCCACCGGCGTGTCCTCGAGCACAAGGACCTCCACGCTCTTCCCGGATCTCTCCATCCCCCTGGCATACCGCAGCTGCCAGTCCTGCGTCAAATCCAGCCCCGCCACCACCACCAGCGACTTTGGCACTGGAATCTCCCCGAGCACCCTCTCCGCGTCCGAGCCGGGCCCGAAAACGTTGCAAGCCGGGTGATCCCTGTCCGCCCCCTCGGGCAAGAAGAGCTTCCAATAGTAATCCCTGTCCTTGACCGTCACAAAGTACTGCCCGTCCAGCCTCCTCTCGGACGCGGTCCTCTCCACGCCGCCAAACATGGGCATCAAGAGAACGTGCCCAACGACGCGCACCGGCCAGAGCTCGTGCCGCGCGGTAGCCGCCGCAACGCCCACGTGGTGGACCATGTTACCGCCGCTGCTGTCCCCGGCTAAAAAGCACCGCGAGAGGTCGGCCCCCGGCGGTAGCCACGTGGCAGCAACGTGCCGGGCGGCTTGCAGCCGGAGCCACCGGAGCGCCGCCAGGCCGTCGCGGTACGCCGCCGGGCAGCGGTGCTCCGGCGCCCGGCGGTAGTTGACGGAGATGACCACCGCGCGGCACGTACGGCAGAGCTGGCGGCACACCATGTCGTACAGCGCGGTGTTGGCGGAGGAGTGCGCGTAGCTGCCGCCGTGGAAGTAGAAGATTATGGGCACTTTGTCGTCGCGATTTGCTTGCTCTTCTTGGGCGTAGGCGATGGCGGGGAGGAAGATCCGGGACCAAAGGCCGGAGGAGCGATCAATGGTCACGTCCATGGACGCGACGCCGTCGTGTGGGGCGAGGCTAGCGCTGGCCTTGCGATCGTGGAATTCGGCGAGGTTGCGGTTGAAGGATCCGTCGGCGCCGCGCGTGAGCATGTACTCCACCTTGAGCTTGGAGATGAGGATCCAGGTGCTGAGCGGCACCACATCCTGGAAGAAGGGATCGCGATAAAGGAATCACGCAAGAAATCTCTCAAGAAACGAAAGAAATCTCTCAAGGAACGAAGAAATCTCTCAAGAAACTCGAAATCTCACCTTCGAGGGCTTGAGAATCGCCTTGCTACAGGAATTCATCTCCAAAACCCCGCGGCGGAGCTGCTAGAACGCGCTTGGCGGCTTTCTAAATAGATCCATGGCGTGACGATCCGAAGAGCGCGGCGAGTCCTAGGCATCCATTCGCAGCCGCGTTCCAATCCGTCGCCAATCGCGTCCCTTTGCGACCCTCACAAAGCCCCACAATTTGGATCATCGCGCACGCCAAAACCGAGAAAATCCCCCGCTTGAATCACTCCAGCCAATCGTTCCCACAGTACTCTTGGCAGCATTGGATTCGATCGACCCCGAGTAGCTCGCCTGTAGATCTGCTAGGCCTATTGTGTTGCATCGATCTGGACGCTAGCGCCTTGTAGCCTCTATAAGCCCTAACAATGCCACCATGAAAAGAGAGGAATCTTCCATGGAATAATCTCGAATTATAGCGCTAGAGGCATGAGAGCCACACAATAGAAGGTGTGGCGGGAGAGAGGGCAATGGCCGATTCCATGGCGAAGCTCTCGTCCAATCTCGCGATGTTTCGCCCCGGCGTCGCGCTTCCTCCATCGCAATGCTGCCGGAATCGAAGATTGGTGGTGCGAGCGGCCGCTGGGACGATCGCCGGAGGAGGAGCCGGGGGATATCGTACCATCAGGAGAAGAGTAAGTGATCCAATCCACAATCCCAGAGTGAAAGTCGCGAGCAAGCGCGATCCAATCCAGGCGCGGCGAGGGAGCAATCGATCCAGAACGATAGCGAGCGAGGAATCCATTCCATCAGCCAAGCTCGAAAGAGTGATTTTCTTTTGCTCACGAACAGCATTCTCATGGATTGGAACTCCTGTAGGTCGCCAAGGTGCTGTCGATCGGTGACAAATCCGCCAAGTTCCGGGATAAGGCATCCGGGGACTCGCCCAACATCAAGCTCCTCTCGCGGATCGAGCAGCTCCGGCTGCTCACCAAGGCCGAGAAGGCCGGCCTCCTCTCCACGGCCGAGAACCTGGGATTCACGCTCTCCTCCATTGAGAAGCTGGGGCTCCTCTCCAAGGCCGAGGATCTGGGCGTCCTGTCCGCCGCCACGGATCCATCCACGCCCGGCGCGCTCCTCACCACCGCGCTCGCATTGCTCCTCCTCGGCCCGGCCTTCGTCTACTTCGTCCCGGAGAACTCGGTGCCGCTCGTCGTGCTCCAGGCCGTGGTGGCGGCGGTGTCCGTGCTGGGAGGATCGGCCGCGTTCGCGGCATCGAATTTCGTGGCCACGATCCAAGCCGCGAAGTGAAATAGATTCCCAAGGGAATCCCAAAAACGAAAATTAGGGTTCTTCGGATAAACCCTAGATAGGATTGTAATGGAGGTCCAATGGCGATGAGCGCGCTCCCATGGCGCCCTGGCCGATTCCATGGCTCGGCCGCCTCCTCTGGCGCTCCGATCCAGCCGGTGGCGACGGCGATTTGGCCGCGATCGCGGAGTCCACGCGCAGATTTGTCACGCTGCTCAAGGCGCCGGCTATTCAATCGACGAGGGCACCGCCAGGTCTGGTCTATTTGCTCGCATCCGAGGCTCTTTCCGAGCGATCGGCGCTGGATGCCGCGGAGGTCGTGCGCGCGATTAAGCCGGGAGCGGTGGTAGCACAGGTAGGAAATGGAGATCTCGCGGGTCTTCGGTCGGAGGAGGAGAGTGGCAAGGAGAGGATTCCAACGAGTTCTCTGGCGGTGATCGGGGCTTGTTTCTTAGATAGCTCGCAGCGCAAAAGCTTCGATAGCAAGGCAGGGGTGGAAGTTTTGCGGTCCATCTTTGGAACTACGTATCACGGTCCGGCTCTTAGCGCTAAGAACGCTGCGAGGGAGGCTAGGTGTGCGTTTCTTTTCCTCGAGACGCCGAGCACAGGGAAGAACGATGCGGGAAAGAGTGACGCTGGGCGGATTCGCTTCGGGCAAATGGTGGTCACGCCAGAGATTGCTGCTAGAGTCTACGATGCATCCTCGAGTTTCCAGGGACTAAGTTTGTGCCAGAGTTTGAGAAGCGGTGATGAGATCGTTAGACATCATGGCGACTCGCGCGAGTTTCCGGCCTATGCTTCGTCGTTCTACGCTCTCCTGGTCGATCTACACGACGCGTACCGCGAGCTCCCGGGGATGAACACGGCACTGGCGCATGCACGGAGTTTGCTCTTTGACGTTGAGCAGGGAAGGCCTGTGGATCAAACCGAGCTCGCCGGGGCTCAAAAGTTTCGCCTCGCGGTGGAGGGTCTTCGGATCGCACTCGCTGCCGCCGGTTCTCGATCCGACAGTAGCACCAGACGCTTCCGGAAAGCTCCAAAGTTTGAGGAGATGTCCGGCGCGGATCAAGGTGACGTTCTTCTCGCCCAGGCCCTCCAGGAGCAAGCGAGAGCTCACGGCTCGGTGGTGGCGGTGGTGGACGCGAGCAGCATAGCCGGTATTCGCCGGCAGTGGAACACGGCCGTGGCTCCGGACGTCCGAGACCGTGCCCGTGAGTGCTTCGTAGTGGAATTCGACAAAGTTGGCGATGATGATGGTGACGAAAACTTAGAGAAGAAGATAGTTGGCTCCGGTGGTGCTGTGGCCGTGGTCGGGATCGCCTCGCTCCCCTGGTGGGCTTCTGCGACGACTCCCTTCACCAAGGTTCTAGTTCTCAAGGCCCCGGCCTTCGTCAAGCTCGGGCTCGTTCAGATCAAGAGAAACGCGACGGTTGTCATCGCAAAGTCGGTCACTCCGCTCCTCACGCCAGGCAAGGCTTTCTCGGCGGTGGTGAAATCGGCTGCCAGTGCCGGGAAGGCTCGAGCCGCTGCTCATAGCGTGGTGGCTACTGCCGAGCGAGCGACGCTATCGGCGATTCGAACAGCGTTTTACTGCTTGATGAGGAAGAAGCAAGGGATGTCGAGTGGTGGAAGGCCATGGCTGGTGCTGGGAGGAAGTGTAGCGGCTGGTGCTGGGATTTTGTGGAGCGGTGACAGGCTTGAGTCGGCCATCGAGGTGGCTCCGGCGGCTCCGAGCGTGGCTCGCTTGGGACGTGGTTTGGAAAACTTGGAGAGAGCTTCCAGGTCGTTAAGCGAGAGCCAGCCACAGCGTGTATGGGAGGATTTGTACAAAGTGCTTCACAAGTAAGTCAGGGAGTTTTGTTTATCACTCTGGACAGGTTGATTGATCGGAACATTGGATGAAGTAAGTTTATTTGCAAAGAATTCTTTTCAGCGTAGCTAACAAGTCGAAATGTTCTCTCCAGAATTTACAACTTTACAAAGCGCGGAGGTGCTCAAGAACAGCAGTTTGGCTTGTGCTGCAAAACCTGTCCTCTGAGTGGGATTGTGGTGGGCTTTGCAGAGCTCATCGACGGCTGGCTCGCCATTCTACACAGGAAAGAAGAGAAAACGAGAAAAAGAAAGAGAGAAGATCAACACCAACGTACCTGTTTTTGATCTCGGCAGCCATGGTCATGAAAGCTTGCTCAACGTTGGTAGCATTCTTGGCGCTGGTCTCTAGAAACGGGATTCCAATCTCATCCGCAAAGGCCTGTCACGAAGAAAGATTTTTACTTTGTACAGTAGACGGAAAGAATAAGAGATTTTGTCACCTTGGCAGTTTGGTAATCCACGACTTTCTTCGCAGTTAGATCGCACTTGTTGCCGACGAGAAGCTTGTTTACGTTCTCGCTCGCGTAGCGATCGATCTCGTTGAGCCATTGCTTGACGTTGTTGAAGCTTTCCTGGTCGGTCACGTCATAGACAACCTGAGAAAACAAAGAGTCGAGAAGATAAGAACTTGCAAGGAAAGACTGGAAAGAACTAGGAACAAATCGAGAACTTTGGAAAAGAATCGAGAAGGATCTGGCAAGAAACAAGAGAACTTACGATGATCCCATGAGCTCCCCTGTAATAGCTGCTCGTGATCGTTCTAAAACGTTCTTGGCCAGCCGTGTCCCACTGAGAGATGGAAGAACATAAGCGAAGAAGTAAAGTTCTTTCTGGCTTACAATTTGGAGCTTGATCGTCTTCCCATCCAGCTCCACGGTGCGAATTTTCTGAGAAAAGTTTTCCAGAATGAAATAACAAGGAATCCTCTCATACATACGAAGTCTACTCCAATCGTACTGATGTAGCTCTCCAGGTAAGAATCGTCCTGTGCCACAATCCATCCCCATTCAGAAGCATTCGCGAGAATATGAGCTTACAGCGAATCTCAGAAGCAAGCACGACTTTCCAACACCAGAATCCCCGATCAGCAACAGCTTGAACAAATAGTCACTGCGATTCAAGATCAGAATCCTCGAACAGAAAGGAAGAAATTGCTTACTACTCGGGATTCATGATCAGAAGCGCGGCCCCAAAATGCAGTGAAACGAGGAACCCTAAACTCAAAAGCAACCGATTTAAGCAGATGTTTTTAAACATGTTATAATTAATTTATAAGTGTAAAACAGATTAAGGAATTGCAAAGTTTGGAGAAAAACAAACACAGTAACGTTTAAAAGAAGGACCGAAAGAAAATCAAACCAGGTGATGGCCATTGATTCGGTCAATGGCCATTAGACACTCATCCAACAGTACTCTATACCACACATTGCACCCTTCACATAGAATTTCCCAATTTCTTAAGATCGGTTAACCCATGTCTAATTGCTGTTCATATGGAACTTTCTTCCACTTCAATCTTCAAATTTCTCATTTGAAAACTTATTACTACCACCAAGATCTACACTAGGGCCATTACCAATAGCAATTTTTTTTGAAACTTCCAACCTTCATAGCAACTTTAACTTTTCTCTCCATAACAATTCATCTAGTGAGCATCACTTCCCAAAGCAAGATAAGAAGCCTGGGAGGTTCACCACAAGACTTGAGCCGTGAAAAAAGCTATTATACTGAGTGCACGTTGCAACCAGTACATGTGTGTGGTAGTCGTAAGAAGGATCTGTACAGGACCGGAGGAAGCCACCACTGTTTTTGGTTGTAATTGCGGCTGAACATAAGAAAAAGAAGAGAAGAAGGAAGTACCTCATAGCTTGAGATGATGGTTCACATGTTAATTATATATCAGTCGTGCACTTGCCAAATGTGACGAATTTCCAAAACATGCTACTATTCCTTAATTCCTTCTAGAAACTATCAAGGCTTATGAACTTTGAAACAAATGGTCACTGGCAGAATACACAAGCTACCTGTTGGACGATGAAGTTTTCTAGAAGTGCACTCCAGGATGGTTATAGTCATGAAGTTCCATGAGAATTCTTTCCTTCTCGGAGGAAAAATGGGCCTTCCAGCTGAAACTTTAGTGCCCTCTCGGCATTCTTGAGACTCTTATTCGAGAAATCCTGCTCGGAGCCAAGCCTCAGGTCGATTAGACAGCTCTGCGATCCTGTCTGCCCTCCCAGAACTCCGCTACTCAACTCGACTATCTCAATTTTCCATGGATTTTCGTCACTTGCTGCCACTCAATGATCCGAAGATCTCTAGCGAACGCGCGCATACGCTGCTGGGCTGCTCTATGGTTGCAACGCCCCCAACTTGCCGGGGATTGGGAGCCAAGGTGGCGGCCATGGTGGTGAGCCAGCAGGCGGTGCGGCTGAGACACGAGGACCAGCTCGCCATGGAGTTTGCGCTCCAGCAACAGCAGCAACAAGCATCGCTGCCGGAGCTCACGTCAGGAATGGTGATCTTGAGTCTGGAACTAGCGCCAATTTGTAGCATTCTCTCATTCAATGAGTAAATCTTTATCTCGAGGAAGAGTTCCATCCAAGAATATGGATAGCAATCAGGGAAGAAAATGCAAAGCACTGGAGAATAATAATACATGCTTTTTGGGTTAATATGTTATGGCATCACTTCCAATCACCAGCTTGGTCATCTTGATAACTTGAGCTTTTTGCAGTCAAGAATTTCACAAAGAGGTGTAAGAAAAAAAATATGCGCGAGAGAGATGATTACAACAATAAAATTCATTCATATCACTATTTAATCTGAAGAAGTCAACACAATCACACATTTCAGCAGTACTACGTTTGCTTTCCAATCATTATCTCTCCAGTTCATGAGATTGTGAGCATCGCTTCCTGAGCAAGAGTAAGATTGGAAGGCCGTAACACTTTAGCTATAGGGACGGCCATTTTCCCAGAGTCTTTGTGTTGTCGTCATAAGAAGGATATTTGCAAGACCTGATGAAGCCACCCGAACAGAAGGAAAAAAAAATGAAAAGAGAAGAAAGTAATCTTGACTGTCTTATATACTAGGATTGGAGTGGATCGAAGTTTACCAGCCATTAGATTGTGCACGCCAAATGTGATGAATCTCCAAAAGCTCCATTCCACGTATGATATAGACTTTTAATAAACCATCAAAGCTAGCTTCTTGGCTTGTTCTCTGCACTTAGAAACAAATGGTCAGTCAAAATCCCTGCTTCGCGCTAAAGGATCCACTGTTACACGGCAGAGCTTTCGAAAGCAAGACGGCAAATAGTCATAAAGCTTATTTTCGTAGGAAAACGCCAAGCCTCAAATCGATTAGACAGCTATGCTGCGCGATTGTAGTCATGCTTCTGCAAAGCAACCATCTCGATTTTCCATGGATCTTCGTCACTGGCTGCCACTTCTATTCCGAAAGAAGCAGCTGCTTGCTTGGCAGCTTTCAACCAGCCTGGACTTGCTAAACTGCTGGTTTCATCGCAATTGAAACCTAGCTGGGCTGAGTAGCATCCTTGGCGAGCTGGATCAAAAGAGAGGTCAGCTCTCAAAGACTTACTCAATGAGTTGCTAAAAATTGGCGCCAGTTCCGGACTCAAGATCACCATTCCTGACCTTGAGCTCCGGCGGCGATGCTTGCTGCTGCTGTTGCTGGAGCGCAAACTCCATGGCGAGCTGGTTCGCGTCCTCGTGCCTCAGCCGTGCTCCCTGCTGGCTCACCACCATTGCCGCCACCTTGGCCGCCAAGCTCCCAATCCCCCGCAAGTTGGGGGCGTTGCACAGCAGCCCATAGAGCAGCCCGGCAGCGTACGCGTCCCCGGCACCGCAAGTGTCCACAGGCTTGCAGCGTCGCGATGGAGGGACGTAGACGACCGAGCCCGCCAGAGCGATGTACGATCCTCTCGCGCCGTCGGTCACCGACACGAGCTTGCAGTAGCGGCTGAGGTGCTGCGCGGCAAAGCTCGGACTCGTGCTCGATCCAAATCCACACAGAGCTCGGGCCTCGCCGCTGTTTGCAAAGAGGACGTCGGCACTGGATTCCATCACGTCCCTGGGGAGAAGGAAACAAGCTCTCGGTGAGAAAGAGAGGAAAAGAGTGATTCTTTTGTGTACCAGAATTGATCGCGATGACGAGATATGCACGAGACGTCGCTGGCAGTGAGGGCGACGAGAACGTTGGCCTTGCGAGCCTCCTGGCAAGCTCGAGAGAGAGCCTGGATTGTTTGGGGGATCTCCCAGAGGTAGCCTTCCACCACCAGGAGCCTCGAGGCGGAGAGAGCTTTGGCGAGGACTTGGTCGTACTCAATCACCGAGGACATGCCCTGTGGTTTCAAGGATCTAACAACAAAAAAAACATGGTTCTTTGTTTTTTCACCTGGTAGGAAAGCATAGTTCGCTGGGCATCCGGTGTTGTGAGAACGATCACTGTTCCAGTCGTGCCCCTGACCATCGGGGATGATAGAAAGTGTACGTTGGCACGTAAGAGCTTTGTTCTGACGAAGAAAACCCACACAACAGTGAGTGAGAGATAAAAATCGAGCACGAAGAACTTACCTGTAAAAATCGCCTAATGGATCTTTGCCGACGCTACCAGTCATGGCTACGTTGATCCTTCCCATCCCGAGCCTCGCTAATGCGACGAGTGTGTTCGAGAGAGAGCCTCCAGCCGAGACTTTGTAGCTCCGGCCGTCGAGAGCCTGTAGAACCTTGCCTCGTTGCTCGTGGTCGATAACGGTTCTCACTCCTTTCTCTAGTTGCAGCCTCTCGAGAGCGTCATTGCCAACCATAGCAGAGCAATCCACCTACATAGAAAAAAAGAGAACATGAGAAAAAGGATAACAATAGCAAGAATTCTATGAAGTGTATAGAAAACTACGCGAATGGATAGCAATCACAGGGAAGAGAATGCGTACGCCAATGGATAGGGAAGAAAAGGTGTAGCACTGGAGAAAAGAAGCATTGGGAACTTCAAGAAAGAAACAAACCAAGCATGCTTAAACCCTAGCAAAACCCTGGCAATGCCGCTTACCATAGCTTGTCCCAATCCCACCACGTCCCATTGCGATGGCACCGCCGTCTCTGGAACTCCATACGGCTGATCGCCATCCTCCGCGCCGCCGCTACGGCACAATCCGCCCATTCTCGACCGCCGCAGGCTCAACCCCAAATCTTTGCGCTGCTTACATTGCCACCGCCTCCAGCCAAACAGCGATTGCCTCCTTGATGGCAATGGCGACGACGAATTCCCTGCTGCGGCCAAGCAGCTAGGATTGCTCTCGCACGCCACCGCCATTCTTTCCCCTCCCTTTAAAGCCTATCCTCCATCGCAGTCCCTTTGAAAACCTAAAGCCCTTGCAGCGCGAAGTAAAGGCAATCTTCTCCAAGAACACAAACACCAGCTTATCCGCGTGGCAGGCCGTTTGGAATTCCGCCAATGACATGGACGGGAAACGTCCACGTCGCCAGCCCTAATTAAAGTGCCCTAGATTCATCGAATCTTTTAAATTTAAACCTTTTCGCGGCAAATCGTGTTGTAGTAATCAATTCTATCTTTTTCGCGTATGGAAACGACTAGGACGATTCGTGACCGAGCGCGATCGATCGATCTATTCACATAGTTCTCTCTTATCACTTGAAGAACTGGTAGAGGAAATCGAGGAATCCCGTTCCTCGCAAGAACCCTTTGCCAGTGACGAGCTCGAAAACTAGCAGCACCGAGAAGCCCATCATCGCCGCCCTGCCGTTTGTGATCTCGTTCTCCGGCGTGAATCCAAACACCCGCTTGTTTTCGTCCTCCACCACCATACGAACCTGTGGAAGAAAAGAGAGATTTCTTTTCGCCTTGGAACTTTGGAATCGAGAAAGGCTTACTTCTTCGATGTTAACATCCGAGGCTGTTCTTCCCGCGAATGTCTGTCCGCTGAAAACGATCTCGGCGGATTTCTTGTCCTCTGCCTGCTGTTGTGTGTTGATACAGATGTAGTCGCCGTCGATCTTGACGGGGTATGTGACGAGGTTTCTAGTCGGTTGGATCAGGAGCTTCATCACTGGATTCGTGGGGTACCAGTCTTTGATCTCTCCAGTCTGGAGGCTAAACGTTGATGAAGTGGAGGGACAAACAATGCAGCCATCCTGGAACAGAGTAGCACAAGGAAGAACAAAGTTTAGAGCGACCTTTCAAGGCAAAGTCGATGTTTCTCTCTTGCAATCGTGCATGATAAAAGCTTTGCACTCTCGTAGCCTTGAAAACGTTTTTTTTTTTCTCCTCACGATGATCTGACTAGAAATTCTAGAACAAGTTACTTACATCGACAATGCAGTGCATCACTTTCTCTTCTCTCTCTCTCTCTCTCGATCATCCCTGAAAGATAACTCTTTGACTAATTTCTATGCTATGATCGATGCAAATGGAACGCAAGGAAGCCTCGCTCGCTATCTAGAATGCTTTCCACCAATGCATAGATACTTACTGGTGTGAGCTTCGCATTGATCAATCCCTCGCTATACGCGCCCTCCGCCGGCGATTTGTTCTCCACAGCGTACACATCGTTCTTGTACCACAGCAGCAAGATCGTCTCATTCTCCTGCCTCACAAGCCTCCTCTCTCCTCTCGGCAGAGTCGCGAATGGAACCACCGGTATCCAGCTCCCAGCATCCCCATCTTCTTCCTCCTCGGACGAATCGGGCGTTGTCGCGGTCGTAATCTCGCTGCTGCTGCTACATTTCAAGAATCCAGCCCTCAATCCACCGCATTTGCCACCGATTTGCTGCCACAGAGCTGCTCTCGATGCGCAAAATCGGCCCGCGCCGCCGCAAGAGAGTGGAGGCGTCCGGGAGAGATTGGGAAGAGGATTCAGACCTATCGCAGCGGTCGCCATAGCCTAGCTCATCAAACGCGCGCCACAAAGTATATGGCGTGACGTGGCCCATCTTAGCTAGGGTTTTGGTTTAGGGTTTATGCAAATTCGTTTGCGCGGAAACGATCGATTCCATGACGATCAAGTGCGTTCCCCTCGGTAAGCGATCGAATGCGGCATAGCTCGGACTCGCTGCTAGATTTTTTATCTCCTTTGGTGGATTTCTTCATGGATTTTGATCCAGGAGCCGGCCAGGATGTGGGCAAGAGCTGTGTAATTGTGTCCATGGGAGGAAAGAAGATAATGTTCGATTGCGGGATGCATATGGGATATCAAGACGAGCGGCGCTTCCCAGATTTCTCGCAGATCTCCAAAACCGGGGATTTTACTCACGAAATTGATTGCGTCATCGTCACACACTTGTAAGTAGTTTTCTTTCTTTTTTTTTTTTTTTTGGTTCTTGTGGATACGCTCAATGTTTGTGATCACAGCCATTTGGATCATGTTGGAGCTCTACCATATTTTACTGAAGTTTGTGGTTACGAAGGACCTGTGTATATGACTGTAAGTTGTGTTTGTCCTGTTGAAGGATTCTCTCTATTTCTATTCTGCAGTATCCAACAAAAGCTTTGGCTCCGATCATGCTGGAAGACTATCGCAAAATTATGGTTGATAGAAGAGGGGAAGAAGAACAGTTCTCGACGCTTCACATTCAGCAATGCATGAAGAAAGGTATTCATTCTTGTGTAGTTTCAACACAGTTGGTTTTGCTAATGCGTGCTCGAACTATAGTCATTGCTGTGGACTTGAGGCAAACGATTCGAGTTAGCAAGGATCTAGCGTTCCGCGCTTACTACGCTGGACATGTAAGCCCGCTAAACTTTTAGAAATTAGAAAAAGAAGAAAATCTTTCTTACATTTGCTTGCAGGTTCTTGGAGCTGCTATGTTTTATGTGAAGGCCGGAAACAGTACAGTTGTTTATACGGGTGACTATAACATGACTCCGGATCGTCATCTTGGAGCGGCTCAGATAGACCGATTGAAGCCGGATTTACTGATCACCGAGTATGGCAATCGAGTTCTCTTTCACGCTTCTCATTTTGATCTGCAGATCGACTTATGCTACAACTATTCGTGAATCGAGGCTGGCTAAAGAAGCAGAGTTTCTCAATGTGGTATGTGAAAGAGGCTCATTTTTTTCAGCATTTATACAGCATTTGTCGATAGTAGGTACATACCTGTGTCAGCAAAGGTGGAAAAGTGCTCATACCAATTTCGGCCCTCGGCAGAGCTCAGGTATTTTATGATTTATTTCAGACAGTATCATATCGTTGGTTTCAGGAGCTGTGCATACTTCTGGACGAGTACTGGGAACGCATGAATCTTAAAGTTCCCATCTACTTTTCTGCCGGTACGATTTTTCTTTTGCATTAATTTCGTGTGCCATTCTTGGTATCACTCTTAGGATTGACGATGCAGAGTAACGCGTACTATAAACTCCTGATAAGCTGGACAAATCAGAGAATTAAAGACACTTACGTGACTCGTAATGCTTTTGACTTCAAGCATGGTAAGAAGGACCTTCAAGTTCTTCGTGCTCGTTTTCTAACATCAAACTTAACAGTTTTTCCATTTGATCGGACGCAACTGGATGGCAACGGACCGTGTATACTTTTCGCTACGCCCGGGATGCTCACAGGCGGACTGTCCTTGGAAGTTCTAAAACACTGGGCTCCTGTAGAGCAGAATCTTCTCATCATACCCGGGTCTGGTTTTGCTTTTTGAATAGTTTTTTTATTTTTGTTGGTGCGCTTAAAGGTGATGGACCAGGTTTTGTCTCGCGGGAACTGTGGCACAAAAGTTATGTTCCGGAAAGCCCACGCGGGTAGAAGTGGACAAGCGAACGACAATAGATGTTCGATGCCAGGTTAGAATATCTTAATTTCTCTTTAAGAAATAGAGCACTAACTTGTGTTTGACGCAGATACATTTGCTCGCTTTTAGTGCTCATACGGACGCTAAAGGCATCATGGATCTTGTGAGACAAGTCGAGCCTCGCAACGTCATCCTCGTCCATGGGGAGAAACTCAAGATGGATGTTTTGAAGGCTCGGATCAACAATGAGCTCGGGATGCCGTGCCACAATCCCGCCAACCACGATGTCGTCGAGGTACCTTCGCACTGTCTCTTCAACGTCGAAGCCTCCAAAGAGCTCGTGTCTTTAAGCATGAGTTCGTACTACAGCAGCACACACTCGGCAATGGAAGACTCCGTGACTTCGGACAGATGCAAGCCGGGGATTCCTGTGGAAGGAATTGTGCTTACTACAAACTCATCCAAGATCAAACTGGTACATCCTTTCGAAGTTCCATCAGTTCTGGGTGAGCCGAAGCACGACATATCCTTTAGCAGTGAGGTGGAGATCATCTTGGAGGAGGAGGAAAGCGAAGCCGCAGGACAGCAATCCCACGATGCAGCGACAGAACCATCCAGCAAGAGAGTCCGGAAGGACTTGAAAAGGACTTTAAGCCTCGACTTGGAGCGTTTGCCGGAAGAAGCAGAGACCGAGGCCGAGCATCCCAAGGACCAAAAGTTCTTACTCGACATCAACGAAGTCCCGGTAGCAGGCTCGCCGGAGGAATCACAGCAGGTTTTCACTCCTACTAGCGAAGAACTCTCGAAGCTCATGACCAGCGTCTACTCGGAAGCTGTAAGCTGGATCAAAGAGCTCACTCTGGAGGACAACTGCGTGAGGTGTCGCAGCCTGGAGGTCTCTTTTCTCTGCGGGAAGCTCTGCAAAGAAGATGGCGCTGTGAAACGCAAGGCCAGCTTGGAGTGTAGATGGAAGTACGAGGAAAATGGTCTGGCGAACAGGATGCTGGGCATTCTCCGAAACTTTGCGGTACAAATCTGAGCGATCCAAGGTGATCTTTCACTCTTGTGTGACTTAACTTTGTTTCTTTTCCTTTACCAAGTGACTATCTTAGAGTTTTGGCGAGACCATTTTGATATCACTGCAAGTTAAAGAGGTCTTTGGAAAGCTTGGAGGTAACAAAGAACTTAATTTGTGTGAAAGCTCTATGGAATCTAACGTTAGCTCTTCGTCCCTCCATCAGTGCTTAAACAAGCTTATCAGGTTATGGGCCGACATCAGATGTAACAAGAGTTCGTTAACACGTCCTCCATCCAAGCGCCAAAAGAAACCATGGAATAATCTTCGATAAGTGGAGCACATGGGTGATAATATTAATTATACGTTAGTCTAATCACAGCTTTAGCAATTTTAAATCTCCCTCCACTTGGTTAGAACCCTAGCTGGCAGGGAACAGGGCGATGGTGCGCTTCCACGAGCCGCCGCTTGGCGCTTTGATCCTCCCCACGGTAAGAATCGCGTGCCAGATCGCTGTCGCGAGGGATAGTTTAGTGGAGCGCCTGCGCTCTTGCGAGAGATCTGGCATTTTTTTATCATGGATTTCGTTCTATGATGCGGGCTTCTTTGCGAGATTTGCTCTGTCCTGGCCTTGCAAGTGGATGATATATGCATCGATTGCGTGATCCTTGCGATTCTTGCTATGCCTGAATGCTGATTGAGCTTCGCGTCTGTGTCATTGACCCTGGAAGAGGCGCGAAGCTTTTTCACTGGGAAAATTCTTTCTTATTGTGTTGCTGTGTGTACAGTCCTTACAGCTGCTGGTACGAGTGACAAGCAAGGAAAGGAACGTCGTGGTGGTCTTTCTTTTCGAGGAGGAAGCTGAGCTCCAGTTTCCTGTGAAGGACTCTCTCGCGCGAGCTCGCAAATCGAGACTAGTATATTGGATCTCCGGCAAGGATGGACGAGCGTCTCCAAGTGGTGGTGGACAAGGCTCAAGTGGCTGATCACGACGAAAACGACGATAAGGAAGAGTGCTCCAAGTGCTCCAGGTGCATGAAGAGAGCCAGGCTGAGGAAATGGAGGCCGGGGATTTTCAGGAGAGCCAGAGTGGAGCGCAACCCGCTCGTGGCTCTCGAGAAATGCCGATCGAGTTACTATGGAGTTTTTGGAGCTCGAATTGCGATCATGGTCAGTAAGTAGAGTGCCAGTGACTGTATCAGTTTGGTGTTTGACGCGTCCTTCTTTTGCAGTTGATGCTCGCAATTCTGATCGGCTTGATCACCATCTTGACCTGGCACTTCACAACAGCTTACGCTACGAAGTCCATCAAGAGCCTGGCTTACAGCTTGCGGGTGGAGCTGCTAAAGAGGACCATATCCAGATCATGGAACTTGATAAGCACGACTCTGGACGCTACCACTACACTGGCGAATTTGTCCGACTATATGATCCCGAAACATTTCTCCTCAAGTGTTCCTGCTACACCAAATGGTTCTCATCCGTCCCACCAGGTAAAACAGTTTTCATTTCGTGCTACAGTCTTATGGACTTACGCACAGCCGCAGCACTTGGTGATGAGAAACATTACATGGGCGGTGTTCTCGAGTCGCCAGTCGCTGAAGACGCTGAGCGTTCTGTATTCAAACGGACAGCTACTGGCGTTTGACCGGAATCCTGTGAACAACAAAACTTACTACTTGTTCTCCAACAACTCAGCCGCTTCCACTTTGGGTACAGAGTTTCTCGAATTTGTTGAGTCCTCGACACCAGGTCAGTGGTACAAAGAAGAGCTGAATCCTTCTACTGGTCAGCCCATAGATTCGGCAGTTTCCATACCTTCGGTGAACTTCAGTGACTACACTGGAAACGTATCTACCCTCAAGACCGGCGAAACGTTCTGGCACGTAGCAGTCGGCTCGACGGACAACGAGTGCCTCTTGTCATCGGCGGCCGATGTGAGACATCCAGTTACAAACGAACTGATGGCAACAGTGGTCGTAACTTCAGCACTTTCGGGGATCAGCAACCTGATGAAGGACCTTGCAAGGAACTACAGTGGATCTTTCTACCTTACTTCCTACGATGGTCTGCTACTTGCGTCATCCAGCAACCATTCTCTTGTGAGGGTGTTATCTCATGGGCCAAAGTTGACACCAGCAGTGGACGCGCAAGATTCCGTCATCAGAGATGGTGCAAGGTGGCTGCGAGAGTATCACACCGATAGCATTCTTGCACAGAAGGAGGTTCATGCCGAAGACGTCGTCCTCGGAGGGAAAAAATTTTATATCGACTCCTTCTATTGGAATTTAACTGGACTGCCTTTGGTAAGCAACTGGTTATCTAAGCTCCTCCATTCTCAAACTTTTACATTACAGATCGGAGTAATATTACTGCCACGATCCTACGTTTTGGGAGATGTCGATGACAGGGGCCGCACCACGCTCATAATCCTTGTCTCGGTGGCGATAAGCATCCTCGTTGTAGGATGCTTGTTGATACTTATTTTCACAAGCGGAGTATCCACCGAGATGAAGCTTCGTTCCGAGCTTATAAAACACCTTCATGCTAGGCAGCGCGCAGAAGCATCTAGCAATTACAAAAGTCAGTTCCTTGCTAATATGAGGTACGCTCTATCTACATGTTCGATAAATCTTTGTTGACACTTTTTTTTATTTTAGCCACGAACTCCGAACACCAATGGCTGCTGTTATTGGTCTTTTGGATATACTGCTTACAGATGCATGCCTCACAGTGGAGCAAATTGCTATCGTCTCTCAGATCAGGCACTGCTCAACAGCATTGCTACGCCTCCTTAATAATATTCTGGACTTGAGTAAGGTAGCTTTCAGTTTTGGCGCTTCAAGAATCGGCATTGAATCTGTTTTTGACAGGTGGAATCAGGAAAGTTAGTTCTTGAAAAGGTCGACTTTAACATTCGTCATGAACTTGAAGCTGTGATTGACATGTTTTCTGTGCAATGCGTTGACATTGATATCGTTCTCGACCTCGCAGGTAAACGTTGTCTGTGCAGTCTTCGCTTGTATATTAATCTTGTTGGTTTTTTAGATAACGTTCCCCAGATGGTTCGTGGGGACTTAACAAGGACAGTTCAGATTTTTGCGAATTTGATTGGCAACTCAATCAAGTTCACTTCATGTACTTAGTGAGCCAGCCAAGATTTACTGTGATGTTCTCAAAAATCTTTTCGTGCTGCAGCTGGGTATATTACAATACGTGGCTGGGCAGAACCATTTGTATCACGATACGAGCCGTTGGAAGCGTCAGGAGGTCACATTGAGAAATTCCTTTTGTGGTTTGAAGTTGATGATTCTGGATGTGGTAAGTTTGTTCCCATGACCATATTTTCTCCATAACAATTATTTGAGCAGGAATTGATCCAAGCAAATGGGAGACAGTGTTCGATAGTTTCGTCCAAGCAGATACTTCAACAAGTCGAACGTATAACAGACTTTCTTTACATTTTACGACACTGATAATGTTTGTGTTTCGTATTTCAGACATGGAGGAACCGGCCTTGGCCTTTGCATCGTCCGTTCTTTGGTTTGTATATCGTTTAAGAGCCTCTTTTCCTGATTTAGTAGCAAACAGGTTAGCAAAATGGGAGGAGAGATAAAGGTCGTGAAGAAGGAAGAGCCAGGAACTTTGATGCGGTTCTATCTTATGTACGACTCTCCATTCGAAGTATCCACTCCAGATAACACCACGCATTTGGCTCAATCGCCTTCTTTTCCTGTTGACATGAACCAATTCAAGGTAACTCAATCCTGACAACCAGAACATTGTCGTCGACAGGTTTACTTGTTACACAGGTTCTTATTGGAATGAAAGGAATGAAGCTGAGGTCTTTCCTGACTGACTGGGTCGCCGAACAGAGACTCGACGTTAGCAGCACTGAAGATTGGAACAGCCTTATCGAGCATATGGACAAGGAACTTCCAGATAGCGAAAGCAGCAAAAAGTTATTGGTCGTCCTGGACACGAGGCTACTGCCAGCGAATCTCGAGGCCCTTACGGATCACCTCAACGCGCTAAACAACTTCAGCAAACGAGGTGCTCTGGTATCCTGGGTGTTGAATCATGACACACCAGCATCAGTGAAGATGAGGATACGTGACAAAGGATACTCCATCATGGCCAACAAGCCTCTCTACAAGTCCAAGCTTTTCATGCTGCTCAAGTCGCTGGTAGGAACTCTACCAGACAGCTTCTGCTTCATTCCCGGGCTCCAGTGGAAAGATGGCATCCTTGGCCTCAGAAACACTAGCGTGGATTATGCACAGGACACTATTTGGTACGGCAAAGAGCCCCCGAAGGCACTGGAGAGATTGTCGAAAAGAATGGACCTCATCCTTGGAGAAGTTGCGAGTCACGTATCTCAAAAGACACACTGTGGAGACGACGAGGACGGGTTTAGCAGCACCAGAGGCTCGCAGGACATCAGCCACAGAGCGATGGAGCTCAAGGAATACACAGACGAGGAAGGAAAAGAAGTGGAATTGGCAGCAAAGATCCAGCCAGCTCCGTGTGTTTCGTCAAAAATACCGCCAGTAGCTCCCAAAACTCCGGCCACTGTGGAACAGACCGTCAAGCCTCGGGCCTCGCTGACGGGAATACACATACTCCTCGCGGAAGACACGCCGGTGATCCAAAAGGTGGCAGTGGTTCTTCTCAAGAAACTTGGAGCTACTGTGGTTGCCGTGGCCGATGGACAGGCCGCAGTGGAGGCTTGGAAGGGGAGCTTGAAAGATCATGCGGTAGTAGACGAAGAGCGCAAGCCATTCGATCTCATTCTCATGGACTGCCAGGTATGGAGCTAGATCTTTCTCGTTCTCGCTGATCCTTGAGAAAACTTTTGGTTCCAGATGCCGAGAATGGATGGATATGGTGCCACTAGAGAAATCCGCAAAGCCGAGGAGGGCAGTGGCAGCCATGTCCCAATAGTGGCGCTCACTGCTCATGCGATGTCCTCGGACGAAGAGAGGTGTTTGGAGGTGGGCATGGACGCGTACCTCACCAAGCCCATAGATTGTAAGCTCATGGCCACCACCATTTTATCATTGACAAAGAAGATTGTATGGACCTAGCAAGAAAATCTAAAGTCAATGTAAGTCAAATAATGTGAAACCAAGTGAAAGTCAAAGAAGTCAAGTCATTGTATAAAGTCAAATTAAAATCTTTTTATGCGCCCAGGAATCTCCAAGATTCTCCATCTCCTCGTGGGAAGCAATCAGAACTAGAGAGCACCACTATGCACCTGCAAGTGAGATTTCCCCAGCAGCTGGCAAATCCACACCCACATCCTTTTATTGGGATAGAGCACTGACATCTTCCTGTGGAAAATTCATGTTATAGGTATTTTAAAAGCATTTATACTATTAATAAATAATTTATCTTAATGACTTGTTAATATTCAATTTCCATGATCAAATTTTTTATTATGTTGTGGCCATATATTTTTCTTCATTCTGAGTATTTTATAATGTTTAATCCATCATTTTTACTAGTAATATTTTGTATATAGTTTTAGAAACATTATTAAATATATGCATGTGATCCTTTAAGAATGCTACTAACAACTTATAAAAATATACCATTTCATACCATTAAGTTTTTATATTTGATTTTCTTTTCTAACCAAATATTATTATATTGCCCATTGTTCATCTATCTTAGTATTAGTCAAATACAATTGTGACTATTAAATAAATTAATTTTAATTAATTTTTAATATTAAGTAAAATATTACCTTTAGATTTAAATAGATATCCATAGATAGAAAACACTGATAGCCAATATATATTCTTCATCAAACATTATTTATTTATTTTAAAATTATTGGTAAGATAGAATACAAAACTTGAAATATCTATATTTGAAGGTTTGTTATTATATAATATTTTAGTGCTATTTAGTTATTTGTATTTCATCGTTTATATCTTTATGTCATTATAGTAACACTCAATTGGGAAAACAAATTCAACTTAATACAAAAGAGCATGAACATATTTACCTTTATGTTTGAAAAGGAAATGCAACCTATTATTCAGAGGTAAGTTAAAATTAGTATTAATCCATTATTAATTCATTTTGAATTTTAGGCCATGAGTTATACAACATATTGGATTGATGGAAAACAAGTTTCTTGAATAGATGCAAATAAGAAAACAATAGATAGCATTTTAATTGCATCGAGGAATTGACAACAACCTCGTATTCGTTTTCCAGGTATGAGGTAAACTCTGGACCATTGAAGAGAATTGGTTCATTATTGAGTAAACAACAGTGAGAATGGAGGAAATGTTTGATCAAGTAAAACCTTTGGATGGGAATATTTTTATAAATCCAAAGTTCTTTGAACAAAGATATATCCAGAGTCCAAAATTCTCAACACATGTATGTCATTTGCCTCAGCTGGCTCAATAAATGAGCTGCCCAAATAAAGCATTCAGCTAGAGTAGTCCAACTTTTGAGAGGCGTATCAGAATTTAGGGTTAAAAGATGCAAGCCGGGCCTGGAAAGAAGATCCCTTAACGACTCTCAAGGTCATCTTCCAGATCTGGGGGATCCGTGGCAGCGGCAAATCGGACATGCTCCACTTCTACAATGCTTAAGGTTATTTTCCAGATCATTGGGAGTGGCAAATCCAACAAGCTCCACTTCTAAGACGCGGCATGCTGGCTCTACGATCACCATCCCCGGAGCCAACATCGCCAAGGTTGCTACTTCAAGGATCTCCTAGAGCCCGTCCAGCAGATCCTGGAAGGCGAGGTGGTGACAGCGCCGAGGATAGGAGGAGTGCAAGAACAAGAGACATGATCAGTGGTGGCGTAAATATATATAAACACACAGTCTTCTGTTTCGTTTATGAAAAAATCTTCTGGAGTTTCTTGAAAACTATGCTGCGACTTTGCGTAAGCTTACAAAAAAAATGAAAACACAACAAAAAGTCAAGTGGACGATGATTTCAACCGCAAGGTATGCGTAACTATGACAATACTCACAGGCGCTTGAGTGAAAAGTGCAAGAAATTCAAGGAGTTTAGGAAGTGATGCTGTCGTTGTCCAGGGTGCAGGGAAAGGCAACAGGACCTCTTTAACCTCATGGGATCCATGTATTCTGCCGTGTATTTCATTCAGTAGAGCAAGATGTATACTATCGAGAAAAAGCTGCTGGAATGTATTCAGCTCTCCATTTTTGTTTCCCTTCCTCTTCTTCACGCTCTCCGGGCGTGGCAATCACGCCCAACAAGAGGGTGGCGGCAATTTGTTCCACTGGATTCTACACGCTGTGGAACCTCCCTCTTCTCGGGAAGAACTCTGTATGGAATCATCACTTCTCAGCTCGGGGATATCACCACGTCGCTGAGGCCAGTGCAAGAGTTTTTGAGACACAACTTGGGCTACAAGCGCCATTTCCTAGGTGTGGCCGCAGGCGTGTGCATCAAGTTGTTGTCTCGTCGTCACAATCGCGATTGTCTTCGGCCTGTGCATCAAGTTGTTGAACTTCCAGAGACGATGAAGCATCGCGGATGTAAACAAATTAACGCTTAATCAATGGTGGTTACTGCGCCGTTACTTATGTAAGCATGGCGCCTGGAGCAGGTGCTACTCACGGGCGGTCTTCCGCCTATTGACGCTGGATGCACTGCCGGGGCCGTGTATCGTGCTTGTTACAAGCGTGTCCTGCTCCAAAACATGAAGTTTTACCAGTGTTTCCCTCGGGATGAAGAGCTCGTCCGGGAGATTGTTTTACACTTGGCAAGTAGCGAGGATGGAGGGGTGAGTCGATCTTTTCTTGCCATTTATATTTATATAAAGTGTGTGATAGGTGCTTCTTCCATCCCCAAGGAGCTTTCAGTTGCTTGGCTTGACAGGATTGGGATCACAGTCTGGCTTTGAAAAGCTTCACTTGAAAAGTCTTTTCCTTCTTTTCTTTATGTTTTTCTTCTTCATTCACTCTAATTTATTTTTTCTTTTATTTCCTTCAGGTTGGAGCGAGCATGGGATCCTGTTCTTGTACCCGGCATTAGCAAGCAGCTTAGCTACACATTTCTTCGAGCGGTAGGATATTACCAACCTTTTGTCTCAAACGCTTTTTCTTTTCACACTACTTCATGTATAGTTTGAGAACTGAAATGTACATAAATGTGAACTTGTCAGAGGCGACGGCTGCGTCCATACCAGGAATAAGGCTGTGGATCACTAACGAGTTCATGCACTCTGGACTCCGCGAAGATGGCTATCATCTCCTTGCGATGCTAAAAGGACTTTCCTTTAACTTTCGAAATTCCTTTATTGTTTTGTGAGTTCCAGGCCTTTCTAAGCGCTGGGAAGTGAAACGGACGTCGCTGTACCTCTCTCGTTTGCGGGTCAGGGTTAGGGCTCCACATGGAGGGAGCAATGACGATGATATGAAGCGCAGGGTAAGCGTAGCTATGACAATACTTGTTTACTAGTGCTGCTTGATGCTCACAGGTGCTTGAGCTGCTGCGGAGGTGTGAAAAGTGGAAGAAATTCAAGGAGTTTAGGAAGTACTACTTGACCTCGGTTCCCACCGAGGATGCTGCTGTCGTTGTCCACCCGCTGGAGGTATGTTGTCTTGAGGCTGTTTAGATGCTCACTCAAGTTTCTGGCCGCCACAGAAGAGCACAACCGCAGAGCAATGGAAGCACGTAATCACGTATAACAGGTCAGAGAAATCTCTCCAGTGACACTACGTAATGACATAACGCTTTTGTGCTTGCAGGACTTGTTCCCAGCGCAGCTGCGAAATTCTCTACACACTTTTACGTTCGGAGTATTTCCCTCCGGAGCACAACAATGGGCGTTACATGATCCTGCATGTATGGAGAGGCGAGCAGCACCCTGATGCAGTATGGCCAAGCAGCTTTACAAAGCGTGCTCGGAGGAGACGGAACAAAAAGTATCGAGAAGAGTTTCATGCGCGATCATCGTCACCGCCGGTGCAGCTACAGGTTCTTCCATTCTCTTCGTTTAAGTTTTCCCTTGACTCATTCCCTTTTGCTCCAGGCCTACTGTGTAGGTGAAGGAAACGACCAAGTTTCATCGTACTTTTCAACTGTAGCTGCCGAGCCAGAGGTGTGGCCCCGCACTTACGCAGCCTCATATCGCCGATTGTGGGATTTAGTGAGGCAGATTGCAGCGATCGACAAGGAGACGGGAACTTGTCCTCGAGAGCTCTTGGAAGAAGCCAGCAAGCTTGAATACCGTTGTTGATGGGGTGACTTTCATCAAATAGATTGTAGCATCATTCTGGTAAGCTTTTTTGTTGATGCTCGCAAAGGACGAGATGATCAAAGCAGCACTCACCAGAGAAGGTGTTGCAATCTCAAGAGCTCGGCCATGGAAGTTGTTTGCAGAAAGCTCTTAATGAGCCATAATAAAACACGTCCTCTTCATATTGTAGTTCCTTGCTTGAAAAAACTACAAGTCATCAAGGGACATTGTTTTTTCTTCCACTCTAAATACTCATAACACTCACGGACGGATGGTGGGGCTCCTTCGGCATTGAAGTACTCCTCCCAGGATCTCTTCTCCTTGTCAAACATTTCAATCACTTGGACTTCCATTCGTTTTTCCCGCAACCAACGTCCGATTTGATTTTGGTCCGGGCATTCTTTTCCGCTGGAGTGGTGGACGATTGCAGGGCCGCTACAGCTGCTTGGTACATTCTGGTAGGCCGTGTACAATGATTCGATGCCTCTCTTGAACAAATCCAGTGGCAAGGAATCCATGGCGGCCACACCTCCCTCGCCGATTGCAAGTTTGTCCCCGGTTTCAACTTCAATGTTGCCTAACTGGTGTAGCTTGATGGTGGAGGCAGAAATCGTCTTCTTGTTTACCACCATAAACTCTGCGCCTTTACCCATGTCCTTGGTGAGTTGTTGAAGCACTTCACTTTCTAATATCATCTTCAACCTTGCCAGAAGGTCCTCACCATTTGCTACTGCTTCCTTGTGTTATTTCTGGAGAATCATCCACAAGACAAGCATGGGTATATAACTGTGTCCACTGAAGCTCACAAAGAAGTCACCTCTTGCCCACAACTGCCTGCATTTGTCTTCATAATGTGGAGGTTGCTTGCTTGTGTAAATAAAGTATTTGAAAAAATAACAATGTGCTGAAGATACATTATAATTGTCTTTGAGTAATAGAAAATGTAAAATACTAACTCAATGTGAACTATGCTGAGAGTCACAAGTCATCAATTCTCTACCAGTATGTTTTAACATTTTGTCACTGCAAGTTTTGGGACTGGATTATCAGGCACAGCTGATCTACACACACCTCGTCTAGGTTCAGTCAACTTCTTTTTTCCTTCTCAATTTCCTCTCTTGTTTGCAAGACAAGTAGGGGCCTGCTTGTGGAAGCAACATTGATATTACTGGAGGAATCCTTACTATATTTGGGACGTCTGTTCTTCACGCCCACTGCTGCCCTCATGTTTGGCACCATGTTTTGGGATGTTGGCTCAAAGAGGTAGGCAAGCTTTAATCCTGAGCTTTTCACAAAGCTTATGTTTACTTTGCAACCTCATGGGATCTATGTATTCTGCCATGTATTTCATGGGAGTTTGCAACGTAGTGGAGTTGTTTCAGTAGAGCAAGCTGAGAAAAAGCTGCTGAAATGTATTCAGCTCTCCCCTATGCCTTTGCTCAGGTAAAGCTATATAGCTTTGGGTATGGTGGCAAGAATCTTACTTGAAAGTGTCGTTGATCATCAAGCTATTCTACACTTTTGTTCAGGCAGTTCCATACGGATGGCCGCAAAGTTTTTATGGTCCGTTTTCTTTTCCTACTTCCCCCTTCTCTTCTTCACGCTCTACGGGATGATGGCCGTGGCAATCACGCCAAACGAGAGGGTGGCAATTTCTTCCACTGGATAAAGACATAACCACCCCTAAACCCTAAACCCCTCGTGTTAAGATGGGTGCTCTGTTATCCCGGCATCAGTGAAGATAACAAGCCTCTCTACAAGTCCAAGCTTTTCATGCTGCTCAAGTCACTGGTAGGAACTTTGCCGGACAGCTTCTGCTTCATTCCTGGGCTCCAGTGGAAAGATGGCATGCACAGGACATTGGCAAATAGCCCCCAAAGGCACTGGAGAGATTGTCAAAGCAAATGGACCTCATCCTTGGAGAAGTTGCAAGTCACGTTTCTCAAAAGGCACACTATGGAGATGACGAGGACAGGTTTAGCAGCACCAGAGGCTTGCAGGACATCAGCCACAGAGCGGAATACAAAGACGAGGAACGAAAAGAAGTGGAATTGGCAGAACACATCCAGCCAGCTCCGTGCGTTTCCTCAGCAATACCACTAGTAGCTCCCAAAGTTCCGGCCGCAGCAGAACAGATCTTCAAGCCTTGGGCTGCGCTGACTGGAATACACATACTCCTTGCGGAAGACACGCTGGTGATCCAAAAGGTTGCGGTGGTTCTTCTCAAGAAACTTGGAGCTACTGTCGTTGCCGTGGCCAATGGACAGGCCGAAGTGGAGGCTTGGAAGATCAAGTGGTGGTAGACAAAGAGCGCAAGCCATTCAATCTCATTCTCATGGTATGGAGCTAGATCTTTCTTGTTCTCGCTGATCCTTGAGAAAACTTTTGGTTCCAGATGCCAAGAATGGATGGATATGGTGCCACTAGAGAAATTCGCAAAGCCAAGGAGGGCAGTGGCAGCCATGTCTCAATAGTGGCACTCACTACTCACATGAAGGAGAGGTGTTTGGAGGTGGGCATAGACGCATACCTCACCAAGCCCATAGGATTGTAAGCTCATGGCCACCACCATTTTATCATTGACAAAAAAGAAGATTGTATGGACCTGGCCAAAAAATTCAAAGTCAATGTAAGTCAAATAATGTCAACATAAATCAAGTGAAAGTCAAAGACGTCAATAAAGTCAATGTAAGTCAAATAAAGTCTTAAAGTCTTCTTATGCGCCCAGGAATCTCTAAGATTCTCCAGGCAGCACAAAGATCCACGCAAACGCTCCAGGAAGCAATAGCGGAGCTAGAGAGCACCACCAATCACACCGATCTCGCAACATACGCTTCCCTGCTGAGACGATGCGCCCGCGAGCGAGATCTCCCCAGCGGCTGGCGAATCCACGCCCACATCCTCGCGTCGGGACGGGGCAGCGACGTCTTCCTCTCCAATCTTCTCCTCCATATGTATGGAAAATGCGGCAGCCTCGCCGATGCGCAGCGGATCTTCGATCTTCAGGCTCAGCGGAGGAACCTCTACTCGTGGACTGCTATGATCGCAGCAAATGCCCAGTGCGGGCATTGCAAGGAGGCGCTAGTGTTGTTCCATCGCATGAATTGTGAGGGCCTGAGGGTTGCAGGGGTGACGTTCGTGGCCGTGCTAGGCGCTTGCGCTAAGCTGCGAGATCTCGCGCAGGGCCAGCACGCACACCAACGAATTCTCTCCAGCGGCGGCTTCTCCAGCAACATCGCGGTGGCAAATTCGCTGATCACGATGTACGCCAGCTGCGGATTTATAGATCTCGCGAGAGAAGTTTTTGATGGAATGTACATACGAAACGTTGTCTCGTGGAATTCGATGATTGTAGCATATACCCAAGCCCGGTATTTTGGAAAGGCGTTGGATTTGTTTGACAAGATCAAAGTGGAGCCGGACAGGGTGACTTTTGTCACTGCGCTTGGTGCCTGCTCGGATTTTCAGCAGGGAAAAATGATCCACGACAGGATCTTGGCTTTGCAGATCGAGCTTGATGCTGTTCTTGGAACCGCGCTCTTGAATTTCTACAGCAAGATCGGCCGCTTGAATGAGAGTAGAGATGTCTTTGATGCGATTCAAAGGAAAGATCCTGTCTCATGGTCTGCGATGATCGCCGGATATGCCCAAAACGGGCATTGCAAGCTGGCAGTGGAGCTCTTTTGGAGGCTCGACCAGGAAGGCATCCATGCAAACCAGGTAACTTTCATCAGCGTGGTTGACGCATGCTCCGGCCTGGGAGATCTTCGCCAAGGGAAGGGACTACACGCGAGGATACTCGAGCTGGGCTTTGACAGCCATATCACCGTCAAGAACACGCTGCTCAATCTCCACGGCAAGCTCGGCAGCCTCGAGGACGCCGAGAAGGTGTTTCACTCGCGGGAGGAGAAGAATGTGGCGTCCTGGAATGCGATGATCGCCGCGTATACTCGTCACGGGCATGGATCCAAAGCAGCCCAAACGCTGGAGCTCATGGACTTTGAAGGGACAAAGCCGGACGAGGTGACTCTCTCCGGGATCTTCGACGCTTGCGGTGACATGGGCGATTTAGCGTCGGGGAGGAAGCTCCATATCCGGATCCGGGGAGGAGAGCTCGAGCAGGACGTCACGGTTGCAAACAGTCTTATCAACATGTATAGCCGGTGCTGGAGCGTGGTGGAAGCTGAGCTCGTTTTCCATCGGATGACAAAAAGAGATCTTATAAGCTGGAACAGCCTCATTGCAGCAAATGCCATGCACGGGCATCCAGCTGAGGCTCTCGATCTCTTCCGGGAGCTCAGCCTCGAGGGCTTTGCCGCGGACAACTTCACGTTTACGAGCACGTTGTTTGCTTGCAGCCATGGTGGCTTTCTCAAGGAGAGCCTGGAGGTGTTTGCGTCCATGGTGGGGGATTACCAGGCGGTGCCATCGCCGCAGCACTATGGGTGCGTTTTGGATCTGCTTGGGCGGATGGGGAAGCTGGGCGAGGCCGAGGAGTTGATCGGTGACATGCCTTTGGAGCCTGACTCTGTGGCGTGGATGAGCCTCTTGGGTGCGTGTAGCACTCACTCGGATGCCACCAAAGCTTCTGGACTGGCTGATAGTCTTGTGGAGCTCCAGCCAGAGAAGGCTGCTCACTATGTAGTTTTTACTAATGTGGCAACCAAGTTTGAATAGCCATTTTCGATTCAACTTGATCCCAGCTCGCAAAGATTGAGAACTTTGACCCTTGGTTATGAAGAAACGTTCATCTTCCTTCGTTTCTTTCTTACGCTACTTTCTTTCAAGAGCGGCATATCTGGAGAAGCAAGCAAGTAAAGTTCAAACAGTACTCAGTTAGGGACACGAGATAGATTCAAGTTCAATAGATTCCCTCATGAAGAAAATAACTTTAGGCCCAACTTCACGCCCTGATCGAAATGTTTTTGCGGCGGACAAGGGGAGGTTCAATGTCAGCCCTGGGATAAGGAATGATCGCTTTGACCTCTGACCTTCTTCCTGGAGAAAGCTCTAGCTTATGATCGTTTGATCAAAGGTCTACACTCTACTCATTCATTCTGGCCCTTCCTCAATGGCTTTCTCAGCATCTGCAGGCCGTCGTTGCTGCAATATAAAACGTAGAGAAGTTTCAGAAAGAAATCTCTTTCTTACGTTATACAGACACCATTCCGATCCACGCCTAGCCAAAGGGAACATGGAACGCCATCTGCATCATAGACATTTTTTTTTATAGCATTACCCTCCAGGATTTCCAGCCAAGATTTGAGTTGGAAAAACGTCCAAGGTCCTTCGTGAGGAGCAGATACATTTGTTCCACCTTGCATTCTCTATTGTTATTTCTTTTTAGATATTAAAAATGGAATTAAACAGTCCACCAATTCTAGTGAGCAGTATAGTGATATGCATATACCTCCACGAGGAACGTGCTGTATGTATGGTTTTTTAAGCCGGTAAATCTCCATATGGCATTAGACATAGAAAGTTTCTAGCTTTACCTATCTTATTGTTTTCAAAGTAGACATATGAGAGTTTCTTCCAGGTAATAAAATTCTACTCGATCATCTCTCGAAAAGTTTGCTTGGTCTTGCGCACATTCCCTTTATGGGCAAATGCTGACAATATGGTGTTTCATGTTACAATGTTTCGCTAGTATATCTCTTGCTTTAGAACTAAAGGATCAAACTTCTAAAACGGAAGCATCTTCATGAAGATTCTTAGTAGGGTTTAGGGTTTTCCTGGGTTCTAGCAGATGGGAAGAAATGCGATGGCGATGGCGCTCGCGAGGCGCTGGATCGCAAATGCGCGCTGCTCGCCATCGATCGGCAGCTCCAGGTACGTGGCGGGGATGGAATGCAGGGCAATCCCCGCGAGATTTCTCTTCACGGCGGAGGAGCTTGAGCAGCAACCGAGCAGCAGCCACCCGCCGGCGCCAGTGGTCCGGCCCTCGATCACCTGGGGCGTGGTGGGCGACAAGAACGCGCAGCGCGACGGCCGCGAGCGAGTGCTGGATTACCTGCGCGGCGAGGGGATCAACACCGACGAGTTTGAGTCCGTGGAGCTCCCCACCACCGTGGACGTGATGGCCGAGCGCCTGGATTTCCTCAAGAATCTGGGCCTGGAGAAGATCCACATCAACGAGTATCCTCTCGTGGTGTGCTGCAGCGTCAAGAAGAACATGGTGCCAGTGATCAACTACCTCGAGGCGCTGGGCTTCTCGGCCGCGGATCTCACCAAGCTCCTGCGAAAGTATCCCATGGTTCTCCATTCGAGCGTCACGGTGGACATCCAGCCAGTGGTGATCTATCTCATGGGACTGGGAGTTCCAAGATCCATGGTTCCAAGGCCGCTCGTCAAGTACCCGGACATGCTGGGCTTCCGGCTCGAGGGGACGATGAGCACCTCCATCGCCTACCTGGTTAGCATCGGCGTCCACATCCGCGCCATCGCCGGGATCGTGCTTGAGTTCCCGGAGATCCTGGGGATGAGAGTCGGCAACAACATCAAGCCCAAGGTGGACTTCCTGTGTGGCCTGGGCATGCCGCGCGAGGCCGCCGGGAAGATCCTCGAGCACCACATCCAGATCCTCGCGCACGACCTCTCCCGGATGAAGGACAACGCGGCGCTGCTCGAGAGGGCGGGTGTGAGCGGCGATGGATTCCCCGGGCTGGTGCTGCAAATGCCCACCGTGCTCGTGGATCCGATCGACAAGCTGGTGGAGTCCCTGGCGGACTGGCTGGAGAAGACGCTCAAGGTCCCGCGGGCGAGCACCGGGAGAGTTCTCGAGAAGTTGCCGCAAGTCCTCTACCTCCATCGCCGCTTCGCGGCGGCGCGCGTGAGTTTCTTCCAGGCCAGGGGATTCACCACGCAGGAGATCGGCAAGATGGTGGTGCTGTGCCCGCAGATCCTTGTGCTGGATCCCCGATCGATGAGGGAATCGATGGAGTTCTACGTGAAGCAGATGAAGCGGAGCATCAAGGAGCTGGTGGAGTTCCCGGCCTTCTTCACGTATGGGCTCGAGGAGAGGATCCGGTTCCGCTACAAGCGCGTGGCGGAGAAGGGTCTGAGCTTCAGCCTGGCGTGGTTCCTGAATTGCAGCAATGCGGTGTTCCAGCAGAGGATCGCCGGGCCGATCCACGAGGGCGAGAGGGCCGAGGGATTGTTCTTGATGGGTGGTCCTGTCCGGCAGCTCGCCAAGCCCTCCTCCAGTGACGATGAGCTCGATGGTAGTGACGACGATGACGATGGAGATGATCGTTACGATCAAAGAGACGGCAACGATGTTGAATTCTAGAGGCGGAGGATGCGATTCTAGTGATCCTGCGCTCCCCGATGGAAGATGAATCGCTAGATGGTGATCTTCCAGTTTGAGTTCGCTGGAGGGAGAGCTACTGTTCTTGGCGCCCAAATTTGAAAATATTGATCTAAGAATATTCACGGTTGCTCTTTTCGATGATGGTTTTCTGCCTTCGACATCTGGTGGAATGCTGATCGGCCTGCAAATGACTAGCACAAGACACAGTCTCTTCGAGAATCATTCGAGATCACATACTTCCCCGCTGATTTGCTTTTGCCTCTGTTTGGGACTTTCACGCCTTGATGCCGGAGGAAGCTGTCGAGGGAGAAACTTACTTCACGGAATTCCTTGACTCCATTCTACTCAAGTTCAAGCAGCGCTTGACAAGATGAGCCTTCAGCAAAACAGGAGAGTTTTCGCAGTTTCCATGTCCCTGGCAGCTGGCTTTGCGAATGGGTTCATGATGTTCAGAGTGATCTGCACAAGAGATATTCTCCACGGCTCATCTTAGTTATGGCCAGAATGAGCTTTATTTTTCCTGCGCGAGGTGCGATTTGCTTTGAACGTTTTAATGTTCTTTAAGGAGGCAAACAACCAGTCGAGCTCTAAGTTCCCAGGAAGTCGCGCTCAAGGTGGTGGATTATGGTGTAGATGTTTATGTGAATAAACATAACAAGGAACAACCCCTCTCCCTCTCCACCATATTCATGCTCACACAGGTTCCTCTCCATTGCGAAAGCGAACCCCCAGCAACGCATTATCATATAACATCTCCATGATTTGGCACTCGCAGTTGGATGGATGCAGAGTGACAGTAATCTCTCCGTCATTCTGCATAAACGAGAAGTTGATGAATAAGATTTCAAAGCCGAACTTCTCACTCACTTCTGGGTAGTCCTTTGTTTTCATATATAACTCCTTGTACATGGCAAACTCTTCCTCCAACCAGCAGTCTGGACTTTTCTCAGGCCAAATTTCCTCAGGACTAGCATAGTACCGCCAAGAAGCCTGTGCAGATACAGCAATCAGATGAATCTCAAGATTGACTTTTACTCACATCTTCAAACACTTCAAAGCGGCCTTTGGGTAGCGCCACCCCAGTCCCCAGTGTGGTCTCAGTTGCGTGGGCATCTCTTCAACAGCCCTAATCCATCCTGTGCATCTCACCAGGAAGAAACAAACTTTGCGGATCTCGACCTTGTCACAGGTCCACTCGCACTCCTAGGGCACTCCTAGCTTTTGGGTCTGGCGCCCAATTTTGAAAATATTCTCTAATTGTTTCTTTTTTAGGGCTCTTGGTGAGCGGGAATAATTTTGAAAGCAAAGCCCTTCATCCTAGGGTTTAGCGAGATCGCTGTCTCAAAGGTAGGGCCTTCAAGGCGATGGAGCTCGCTTGCGAGAATGGGAGGTGTCTGGTTTGCAAGAGGGAGCCGCCAGAGCAGGAGATCCTGCCTTGCGCCAGCTGCGGCTGTCTGTGGCATCTTCAATGCCTCAAGACGCCCAAGACCCTGGGGGATGTTCGTCCCGACTGGGAGTGCCCGGATTGCGAGTACGATCCGGCCAGCAGCGGGAAGCCGCCGCCAAGCGGTGGTGGTGGAGATAAGGCGCTGGTGACAAAGATCCGTGAGATAAATGCGGATAACACTCTCTCCGACGTCCAGAAAGCAGCGAAGCGGCAGAAGCTACTAAGCAATGGTGCTGTTCCGGCTGGAAGTCAGGAAGATCGAGATGAGTTGATTTGCATCTTTTGCCAGGGCCCTCTCGATCGCCCAGTCACGGTATGTTTCCTTTCCTTTTGTTCTCTCTTCTCTGTTCTTTCTTTCTGCAAGAAAACTAAGTTCTTTCTCCTTTTTTTTCTAGACACCTTGCGGCCACAACTTCTGCCTTAGATGTCTCCAGAAGTGGTTCGCCCAGGGACACAAGAAATGCGGGAAATGCCGGGTGGATTTCCACCGAAGTTTTATTCAGCAGCCAAAGATCAACCCGGTGCTTGTGCAAGCCATTCGAATGGCCAAGACTGCTGCCAGTGGAGTGAGCTCATCAGCTTCCAAGTCCGTCCAGTTCATCCAAAACAAGCACAGGCCAGACAAAGCATTCAAGAGCGAGAGAGCGAAAAAATCCGGGTTGTCAAACGCGTCGAGTGGAAGGATCTTCGTCACGGTTGGCAAGTATCACTTCGGGGCTATACCAGCCGAGAATGACCCCGAGAGGAACTTGGGAGTTTTGGTTGGCGAGACTTGGGCGGATAGGATGGAGTGCAGGCAATGGGGTGCTCACAGCCCCCACGTCGCGGGAATCGCTGGGCAAAGCGACAGAGGTGCTCAGTCTGTGGTCATGTCTGGCGGCTACGAGGACGACGAGGACCATGGAGAATGGTTTCTCT